CTTGAGGACCTGCTCCATGATTGTTCCAGGGTCTGAGGTGAGGCTGACTGGCCTGTAGTTCCCCGGATCCTCCTTCTTCCTTTTTTTAAAGATGGGCACTACATTAACCTTTTTCCAGTCATCTGGGACCTCCCCTGATCACCATACGTTTTCAAAGATAATAGCCAATGGCTCTGCAATCACATTCGCCAACTCCTTTAGCACCCTCAGATGCAGCGCATCCAGCCCCATGGACTTGTGCTCGTCTAGTTTTTCTAAATAGTCCCGAACCACTTCTTTCTCCACAGAGGGCTGGTCACCTTCTCCCCATACTTTGCTGCCCAGTGCAGCAGTCTGGAAACTGACCTTGTTCGTGAAGACAGAGGCAAAAAAAGCATTGAGTACATTAGCTTTTTCCCCATCCTCTGTCACTAGGTTGCCTCCCTCATTCAGTAAGGGGCCCACACTTTCCTTGAGTTTCTTCTTGTTGCTAACATACCTGAAGAAACCCTTCTTGTTACTCTTAACATCTCTTGCTAGCTGCAACTCCAAGTGTGATTTGGCCTTCCAGATTTCACTCCTGCATGCCTGAGCAATATTTTTATTCTCCTCCCTGGTCATTTGTCCAATCTTCCACTTATTGTAAGCTGTCTGGTACATGAACATAGCAAATTTCCTGCTAGCCGTGTCAAAACAGGCCCTCCCAAGAAGTACTAGGCATGAGATATTTATGTAAATACTTTCCAGAAGGCTGGTACAGATACACCCCAATCGAGCACAAGATCAGATGATTTGACAGAACAATGAATAGAGATGTTCTGTCTGAAATATCAGGAACAAGGGGAGGTAACAAAGAGATGTCATGAAATACGTAAGGTGATATGTAATTTGTTTATCCCAGTTGTTTGTTTCAGTCTATAAATGTCAGGATATCTCACCTTAACCCTTTGTGTGGCCAAGGGGACAGCAGGGACTCCCACTGCTGACTGAGCCACTCCTGGCCACTGGGCACTCATGTGTTAATGTACCTATAACCACGGACACAGGGCACTAGGACTGTGCCTTGAGGGCAATAAATCTGGCCCAATGCCTTTGTCACCAAACCATTCTGGTGCTTGTTCTTTATGAGTAACATCAAGGTCTGTTGAATTAGCAGGCTGTACTGTCTGCTAGTACTGATAACAGTGGAGCTCCAAGAATGGAAACACTGAGCAGCTGGAACAGCTCCAGCAGCCTGGACATCATTACTGAGGCAACAACATTCCATCCTTCTACACCCCTTAGTGCTGCATCTCACCTGCAACCTGTAGCTCAGTGGTGGCTTCCAGGGTCCACTCTGGGTTCCTCACAAAGCAATGGTATGTCCCAGCATCTGCCACTTGGAGCCATTTCAGCTTCAGTGAAACATTTCCGCTGCTGAACTCCTGCAGGAACAGCTCTGTCTGGGTCTGGTAACTCTCCCCCGGCAGGTCCTGGGTACCCTCGTCCATGTACTCATGAACCAGGATAAATCCTGGTCCAGCTTTCCTCCACTGCACGTCCATGCTGGGCAGCCCAGCTGGGGGTGAGAGCTGGCAGGGTAACACCACATCCTGGCCAACTACCCCCACCACGGGGTGCAGGGAGCCAGCCAGGGAGAACTTCTCTGCAATAGACAATCCCAGGAGCAGAATGAGTGACAAGAAAAAGGAGCATCTCTGAACCAGGGCCCAGCCCTACAGACACAGTGAGTGAAAGAGGGGGGCATCAATGAGCTAATCAAAATTTCCTCAGTCATGCATAGCTCATAGCAGAAGGTTCCCGAGGCTGAGTCATGTGTCGTTCAACTGAGTTACTTAGTGTGGACACAGGGCAGTGCAGTCATACCACCAATCCTGTCCTACAATCCACCGGAAACTTTACCAAAGGTGCCTGTCGTGCAACCTACCTACACTCTATTGGCAAGGGGTGGCCCCATCTGGAAGCCACCTGCCAGTTCATAGCACCCTGCACAGCCCCATGGCACCCAGTTATGAGCTCTTTCCACTGCAAGCAACTTCTTTGATGAACCAGTTTCAGATCCACGTAGACCCACAATGGCTGTTGAGGGGCCACCTCAGGAGACTTCTACCTGGCCTGAGGGTATCAAGTTTTGATGGATCTTTGGGCTGATGCACGTCCCTCCCATGGATTCAATACCCAAAAGAGAAACTGACTCAGATGTGGATTCACCATTTTGGAGTCGGTGTCTGGAGGAAAGTAGGCATCTGAGGATGATTTATGTCTGCACAATAGCTGTGTCTGAAGTGTCTCCAGGCTCATCCATCCCACCATGGGGCATGTAGAGCAATGACTACTGAGTTGCAGCACCTGACACTCACTGTGTGGCTACTGGTGGGGAGGCATAAGGAGCAGATTTTCAAAGCCACCATTGAGATTTTGATGAGCTCCCATTCATCCTAATGAGAACTGGACATCCCCATCCCTCAGGCGGCTGTAAAGATCTCAGCCTTGCAGGCCATGAGAATCCAGGCCTCCAGTGGGTCCCATGGCAGGACAGGAAGGGATCAGTGTCGGGGGCTCAAGAAGCCTCTCTCAGAAGCAGCAGGAGCCAGGTGACTTGCTGCAAGATCCAACAATACTGCCATCCAGAGCTAGGACACGCCCCAGTCATTCCAACATCATTCCCACCCCACAGCCTCCTGGGCCTGGACCTGCAGGACTGAGGAGGCGCTGGGGGGTGTCATTGGCCTCTGATGACCCTACCCCAGCCCTGCAGGGGGCAGCATTCATTTGAGACATGGAGGGCAATAATTGGGATTCAAACATTTTTACCAGAGAGAGAACACGGCACCAGGAGGAGGATCCCCAGGCCGCACACACAAAGCCACCACCACGTAGCCATGGAGACATCCCAGGCAGAAACCTGTAAGGAAAGAGCAGGGATGGTTAACACCTTCCAAGATTGTGTGAGGGAGCCGGCAGTGCAGGGAACATGCCCCATCCATCATCTGACTTGATCCACTCTGCTTCCAGGCAGAACATCTCTCCAGGAACAGGAGAGGATTTCACACTCCCAGGTTGCTCTTCTGCCTGCCCAGGCCTGGTACTAGGAATTTCCATCACTGGGAAGTGCTGGGTATCCACCCCCATTTCCTCCCCTTGTGGCTTCTCTGACCATCAGTTGGTGCAGGTGCCCCTGGATACCAGTTTAGGGGAAGCCTGCAGCAGAGCAGGGCCACTTCTGACGTAACCCCAGTGGTATCCACAAGGCTGTCCCACTGTCAGAAAGGGCCTGGCTCTCTGCCTGCCACCGCCTTGGACAACACAGCAGATGTGTGACTTGGGACTCTCTACAGCTCACTGAATGGGGCTCTACAGCATGAGCTAAAGAGCCAGGCTGTGCAGCTGAAGCTGCGACAGACTCACATGCTGTGTGGATCAGGCCCAGAGGGGATCCATCTCACACCCTGGGCAGTGGGTGACACCTGGACACCTTTGCATGGGGTCAGCTTGACTGGAAGTCACCCATGTGGTAAATGATGCTGCCAAGTGACAGGGCCGGGGATGGCAGTAGCTGTCAAAGACACCAGGGGGCACTGTCAGATACCTGCTCCCCCTCCCCTGACATCAATGGGAGACCACCACATCAGTAGACATTACAGTAAGATTCATGATGGGTGTGATGGTACCTCCCATAAGGCTTTATGGGAATATGACATAACTGGAATATGTTTTGTGCTGCCTGTGCCATGTAACATAACTCTGTCTACTATATCTATTCATCCTATTTGTACACATATATCATTTTGTACTTGAGGTTAAGAATATTGGCTGTATACTTGCCTGATTTCTGAGTAAGCTTTGTGAGGCATTTGGTCAGCTTCTTTAGAATCATAGAATCATAGACTTTAAGGTCAGAAGGGACCATTATGATCATCTAGTCTGACCTCCTGCACAATGCAGGCCACAGAATCTCACCCACTCACTCCTGTAACAGATCCCTAACCTATGCCTGATCTATTGAAGTCCTCAAATCATGATTTAAAGACTTCAAGGTTCAGAGAATCTTCCAGCAAGTGACCCATGCCCCACGCTGCAGAGGAAGGTGAAAACCCCTCAGGGCTTCTGCCAATCCGCCCTGGAGGAAAATTCCTTCCCGACCCCAAATATGGTGATCAGCTAAACCCTGAGCATGTGGGCAAGACTCACCAGCCAGACACCCAGGAAAGAATTCTCTATAGTAACTCAGATCCCACCCCATCTAACATCCCATCACAAGCCATTGGGCATATTTACTGATAGTAGTCAAAGACGAATTAATTGACAAAATTAGGTTATCCCATTATACCATCCCCTCCATAAACTTATTAAGCTTAGGCCTGGTCTACACTAGGAGGTTATGTCGAATTTAGCAGTGCTAATTTGAATTAACCCTGCACCCGTCCACACAACGAAGCTATTTATTTCGACATAGAGGTCTCTTTAAATCGATTTCTATACTCCTCCCCGACGAGGGGAGTAGCACTAAATTCAACATGGCCATGTCGAATTAGGGTTAGTGTGGACGGAATTTGATGCTAATATCCCACAGTGCACCACTCTGTTGACGCTCTGGACAGCAGTCCGAGCTCAGATGCTCTGACCAGCCACACAGGAAAAGCCCCGGGAAAATTTGAATTCCTTTTCCTGTCTGGCCAGTTTGAATCTCATTTCCTGTTTGGACATCGTGGTGAGCTCAGCAGCACTGGCAATGATGCAGAGCTCTCCAGCAGTGGTGACCATGCAATCGCAGAATAGCAAGAGGGCCCCAGCATGGACTGATCGGGAAGTCTTGGATCTGATTGCTGTGTGGGGCGATGAGTCCGTGCTTTCGGAGCTGCGATCGAAAAGATGGAATGCGAAGATCTACGAGAAGATCTCAAAAGCCATGACGGAGAGAGGATACAGCTGGGATGCAACACAGTGCCACGTGAAAATCAAGGAGCTGAGACAAGCGTACCAGAAGACCAAAGAGTCAAATGGACGCTCCAGATCCCAGCCCCAGACATGCCGTTTCTACGAGGCACTGCATTCCATTCTAGGTGCGGCCGCCACCACCCCACCACTGTCGGTGGACTCTGACGATGGGGTATTGTCGACGGCCGCTTCCTCAGAGCTGTTCGCGGACGGGGAAGTTGAGGAAGGAGATGAGGAGGACGAGGCAGTCAACAGTGCTTTCAACGCTGATTTCCCCGACAGCCAGGATCTCTTCATCACCCTCATGGAGATCCCCTACCAACCCTCCCAAGGCGGTAACCCGGACCGTGAATCAGGGGAAACATCAGTAGGTAAGTGTTTTAAACATTTATTTTGAATAGAATAGGCATGGTATGTTAGCAATGGGTTTTTAATGATTAGTTTGCCCTAGGCACTTAACTTTTTAGTCCTTGCCAGTGCAGCTACTGGAAAAGTCTGTTAACATGTCTGGGGATAGAGTAGAAATCCTCCAGGGACATCTCCACAAAGCTCTCCTGGAGGTAATGTGAAAGCCTTTGCATCAGGTTCCTGGGGAGAGCGGCCTTATTGCCTCCTACCTGGTAGGAAACTTTTCGCGCCAGGCTAGCAGCAGGTACTCTGGTATCATTGCCTGGCAAAGCATGGCTGCATACGGCCCTGGTGTTTGCTGGCATTCACACAGCATGCGGTCTTTCTCTGTCTCTGTAATCCTCATCTGAGTGATATCACTTATGATGACCTGCTTTGAATTAGGGGAATTTTAGTATGGGGACTGATTGCCTGTTCCTTTAAATAACTGTAACCGGCAGTTTACAGCCATGCGGTGAGGGCAGGGAAGCGAACCGTTCATGCTGAGCGGTTCGCTGGCAGCATGCAGGGATCTTTCCCGGGGACAGCCACGCGGTGGGGGCGGGGAGATGAACCGTTCCTGCTGAGCGGTTCACTGGCAGCATTCAGGGATCTTTCCCGGGGACAGCCGTGACAGGGGTGGGACGGGGGCAGAGTTCATGCTGGCCGGATCACCGGCGGCATGCAGGGATCTTTCCCGAGCCCAGCCATGTGGTGGGGGCGGAGAGGCGAACCATTCATGCTGAGCGATTTGCCGGCAGCATGCAGGGATTTTTCCCAGGGACAGCCGCGATGGGGGTGGGACGGGGGCAGAGTTCATGCTGGCCGGATCGCCGGCAACAGGAACTGGCCAACGCTAGGAGCATTGCTTGGAACGTGAAAGGAGGGCACTGCTGTAAATTAAGCTTTAAGCAGCCAAAAGTCTACAGCTTACCTTGGCCGCCTGCTAGCAGAATTCCATTGTCCGGCCCCGCTTGTGTGATCTGTACAGCAAGACCCCAGGCACTGAATGGGAAGACAGAAAATTCGACCTTGTACTGAGTGCACATGTGATAGGTACTGTGCATGGTCTTGTTCACAGAGAAAGACTATATTCATTGTTTGCAAAAATGTATCTTTTTGAGGAATTCACTCCCTTTTCCCCATCCCACAGCTGCGAGTGTCTCCCGAGCTACCCCAGCATCCCCCTCCCAGAGGCTGGCGCAGATCAGGCAGCGAAAGAAAAGGACACGGGACGAGATGTTCTCAGAACTTATGGTCTGTTCCCGAGTCGAGGCGGCACAGCAGACCCAGTGGAGGGAGAACATGTTGCAATACCAGCGATCACACAGCGAACGGGAGGACAGGTGGCGGCAGGAAGACCAGCAGGCAACTCAAACACTGCTTGGACTAATGAGGGAACAAACGGACATGCTCTGGCACCTTGTAGATGTTCTGCAGGACCAGAGGCAGGAGGACAGAGCCCCACTGCATTCTATCTCTAACCGCCCTCCCCCGCCACAAAGTCCCATCCCCCCCTCACCCAAAGCCCCAAGAAGGAGGGGCAGCAGGGGCCGTGAAAACAGTCACTCCACCCCTGTAAACTATTCAAATTGCAGAAGGCTCTCATGCCCAAAGATTTGATACGTCCTTTCCTTCCCTCCAAATGCACCTCACCCAAGCCCCATCCCAGTTTCATCCCCTAACTGTGTAGTTCTTAATAAAAAATATGTTTCTGTTAATTACTGTTTCCGTCATGTTCTTTTACAGGACAGTGTGTTTGAAGGGGGGGGGGAAGGAGGTTGGTAGTTGGAGAGGACAGTCACCTTTACCAGGGTACAGACACGGGGGCAGGTTCAGCAGAAGGTCAC